GGCCAAAAGGTCACAGTCCTGGTGTCCCACACTATATCCGTAGTATTAGAAATGAAAGGGGGGCATTGGTTGTCACCGCAGACACTCTTGAAGTACCAAGCCATAATGGTGGAAAAGGACGATGTGGAGATAGTGGTTACTAATATTGTTAACCCAGCCTCCTTCCTCAGCGGAGCCACGGGAGAGCCAGTTTCCCACGATTGTTTGGAAACGATTGAGGCAGTATATTCCAGCCGTCCAGACCTGAAGGAGGAACCACTGGAGGATGCCGAGGATTCCTGGTACACCAACAGAAGCAGCTTTGTCCGACAAGGCATTCGCAAAGCAGGATACGCGATAACCACTACTGATCTGGTAATAGAGTCTAAAGCCCTTCCCTCGAGTACCTCAGCACAAAAGGCGGAGATCATAGCCTTAACCCGAGCACGGGAATTAGCAAAAGGAAAAAGAATCATTATTTGGACAGATTCCAGATATGCCTTCGGGGTGGTCCATGCCCACGGAGCGATCTGGAAGGAAAGAGGACTTTTATCCACTCAAGGAAAGCACATAAAACATGCTGCGAGAAAGTGGCTATAATACATTGTAGGGCCCATCAAAAGGGAGTAACTACCCAGGAACTGGGAAATGCCATGGCAGATAAGGAAGCAAAGAGGGTGGCTGAGATGGGCCAAGTAGAAGTGCATCCCTTGATTCCAGATGGTAACATACAACTTGATCAGACAAATTGTGAACCTCGGTATTCAAGGGAGGACCAGAAGCTTATTGAGGACTTAGGAGGGAAAGTAGAAAAGGGTAAATGGGCCAGGACATCACAAGGGAAAATAGTAGTACCATTTGTAATACTATGGGCCATAATTATGGCAGAACATAGAAAAACCCACTGGGAAACGGAGGCTCTGTATAAGTATTTGACTCGGAGTATTGTTGCTCGGAATTTGTAACCCAGCAATGTGAAATTTATCTGCAGAATAACCCTCGAACAGGTCCTAAAGCTCCGCTAGGACAAATAGGGAAGGGAAATTATCCAGGACAACAATGGCAAATTAATTTCTCAGAACTCCCAAGAAAAGGGGGGTTCCGATACTTGTTAGTCCTAACAGATACCTTTTCGGGCTGGCCAGAAGCATTCCCTTGCCGAACCAATAAAGCTAGAGAAGTAACCAAAACCTTGTTACGAGAAATAATACCAAGGTTCGGAGTCCCATCAGCAATATCCTCAGACTGGGGACCACATTTTACTGCAAAGATTGTTCAACAGACTAGCAGGATTTTGGGAATAGATTGGCAATTGCATACCCCTTATAGACCACAGGCCAGCGGCCAGGTAAAAAAGATAGAACCATCAAATCAAACTACAGGTTGTAAAATTGGGACAGGACGCGGGACTTTCCTGGCCTCAACCATTGCCTCTAGCCCTTCTGAGAATCAGAATAAAGCCTAGAGCAAAAGAGGGTCTAAGTCCCTTTGAAATATTATATGGTAGGCCTTATATGATACAAGCAGGAACCGCTGCACAAGTAGGAAATGAAGTACTAACTGACTACGTAATAAGCTTGCAGAAGCAACTCCAAGAAATAACAAAACAGGTCCTAGGGACCCGAGCTAGAGGCCTTGACGGGCCAGTTCATGATGTAATGCCAGGTGATTATGTGTATATTAGATCTCTTTCAGATTCACCTCTGGAACCGAAATGGGAAGGCCCATTCCAAGTGCTATTGACATCCTACACAACAGTCAAAATTAAGGAGCAAACATCGTGGATACACTATACCAGAATCAAGAAAGCCCCTTGACTACAATGGAAATCAACATCAGCTGGACCTCTGAAATTACGCATTCAATGAAAAGATGGACTTTAATCGTTTGTATAATAACACTGTGGTCAAAGATTATGGGTGCATGGGATCAGAATTCGTATATACGAATGACTAAATCAATAGTAGATGGTTTGAACCTGTCTGACTGCTGGGTATGTGTAGCTCTTCCCAGAGGCCAAATGGAGATACCCCTGTTTGGAGTCACGTCTGTTAATTGGACTATAATTAATGAAGCCACTGGGGTAAATATGTGGAAATTGGGAAACTTGTCCAAATTGGAATGTCGAACTAATGTGGCAGTTAGGGAAAGGGGGCCTAAGTTTGAACTCCAAGTTTTGGATGTGGGAATATTTTTTGACCAAAACCCTCAAAGGGGATGGCGCTATATAGCAAAAGAATTTGCAAATGGGAAAGAAAAAGGGGGGACTTGAATTAGGGAGCGAATGGGTAATTGTTAGCATAAACGATTGTAGCTAGTAACTCCGATAGCATAGATGCTGTTGCAAGCATAATAGAATGTTTGGCAAAGACACTGTAACCCTATTGTTAGCAGAAGTTACAGAAGTTGGGTAGATAACAGAAACTTAAATGTATACACTCAGCGACCATCTGGTTGAAACCAGCCTTGCGGTCTGAAGCTCAGCCAACTCAGCATTCTGGGCCAAAGGTGAAGGTACACGGTGAAGAAGACTGTGAATCTTCCTCCAAAAGACCCCAATAGACCTCCAGAAGATCCCAATAGACGACCACCAGACGACAGTACGCGTGCGCCAGGAGGAGGGAGCCTATGATAATAGGTTCCTGGAAATAATTCAGAACCATATAAGGGACAGTTGATGCAACATACGGTGTGCAAGCTAGGAGGAGCTATCCCCCTTGCACCCGGCGCCATAATAAACATACCTGCTTTATAACTCTTTTGAGTTGTGAAGTTTGATTCCGCACGTCACACTTTCAGTAAAGAAATTTTTCCTCATGTCCAAATGCAGGAGCATTATGGGAAGGAGATGAAGGGAAGTGGAGGGCCAAAGCCCAGTGCTGAGTCAGATTGAGCAAGCACTGCCTCCCTCAAGCCACCAATCCCCACCAATTGTGAAATGGATGCTGGGGCCTGGAGCAGGGCCTCGTCCCCCAGCCCTTATCTTTGCTGCTTCCTCCTCCTCCAGGACTGTGCCCGGGTAGCAGGAGCTTGTGCAAAACAAAGCTGAGAAGCTCTGGGGCTAATTAATTACTAGCTGCTGGTAATGCTGACTGAACCCCTGGGGAGTCCAAGGCTGGAGCAGAGGAGAAAGTGCAGAGAGATACTGGAAAATTACTGTTTAATTCTTCAGCATTACACTGGAAAATTACTGTTTAATTCTTCAGCATTATGTCTGACTATATGGCATCTGGTAGATGAGGGAAAGGAAGAGGCTGATAACGAGCCAGCCACCATGACAGCTCTGCAGGCCTTCTCCTCCCCGGCAGCAGGGGTGGCCAGGGCCCTGGAGGGCTGGCTCCGGCCCTGGTGAGAGTTCAGTGTCCGGCTGGATGCGGGTCCTTGGACCGGTGCTGCCTATGCCTGGCCCCGCAGCCGTCAGTACTCCTGCTGAGTGTCACAGCCGAGGAACTCTATTCGCAGGGCAATGTGGTTGTGCCACTGGCGGGGGTGTATCCTCACATAGTGGGCAAAGAGGGGGGGCTCCAGGGTGTTCATCACTGTGCTGGTGTGGTCTTGGTTTGCCTTGAAAATCTGGAGAGGAGAGAGAAATCAGGGGTGCGCTCTCCTCTGCTGGTACAGTGAGCCCATGACTTGAGGACACCATCAACCTAGACAAGCACCACTTGGGAACACTTTAGGGAGGAAAAAGCACAGCCCAGCTCACTGCTCTTGCAAAAAATCCTGTGAGCATGTTTGCTGCCAAGGACTGTGCTTGCTGCCCCGGGGGTGGCCATGGGCTGCCTCTGGCCGTGGAACAGCTCTGCCTACCTTCTCCTTGCCATCCTGCAGGACCGGGCTCCAGTGCACGCCGTTCTGGCTGCTGGAGACAGCAAACTCCTTCACAAACATGTGGGTGAAGACAGCTTTGGCACCTTGGGTTATGATTGCAGTCACCTTCTTGGTTACTTCAAAGTCCACCTGCAACCACTCGCTGGGGCTGTTGCTCTGGGGAAGGACAGACTGCCTTCAATCCTTCAGCAGCAATGAGAAAGACATGTTTGTTGCAGCTGAAGCCAAGCTAGTCCTGGGCTTCAGCTGCCCTACCAGGCATCTGGTTGGAGCTGCTGGGTGTTAAATCAGTGCGGCAACTCTCCTGCCTGTGTGCAGGCAGCTTGCACAGTGCACATGGCTGTACACACTCCCCACGCAGCCCTGGCTAGGAGAGGTTGCAAGCACCCAGCCTGCCTGCTGGGATCCCAGCTGCCTGCCTGGGGATCTGCTTGCATGGGCTACCTTTGGCCTCCATGCGTTGGTCCTTCCCTGCAGGTTCAGGCGAGCCTGGGAGGGTGACCAGCTGGAGAAGACATTGGTGCTGTAGGAGGATGCGGAGATGCGCTGGTCAGGGATCCCTCTGTTCTCCATTCCTAGGGGCATGGAGCAGCCTGGAAGAGAGGAGTAATGCTTGTCAGAGGGGGGAACAGACCCATCACGGAGATGCCTTCTGGCTGCTCACTGCTCCAGCTGCCCTCCATGCACTTTCCCAGGTTACAGTTTCTCCTGTGCCTTGCTGCAGTGTCATGGTCCCTGCACTGCTCAGGGCCCCTGTGTGCAGCATGGCTCTGGCTGGGGAGTGCCAAACTACACCTGCCACTAGTCCTACTATCTTTTCTCCCTGGAGATTTTATCTAGGAGTAATGTGAAGAATTTGTGCATCTGCCAGGACATAAGGACAACCTGTCTCCAGGGGAAGGACAAGAATACCTGGCAGGGAGATACTCTGCACACAATGTGATCAAGTGTGCATGTGCACAGCTGCCTCAAAGCCAGCTGGCACAGTTGTGGCATGGGGCAACAGCACAGCCGCTGCTGCTTGTAGCTGCTGGAGAGTACGCCCTGCTGGTGTGTGAAGCTAAAGAAAGGATCCCGGAGCACCGCTGCCCCGGGTCACACTGTGGGCCAGAGCAGTCTCGCCTTGGAGTGGCAAAACCAGAGGAAAAGCCAATAGCATCTGTCTCTGCTTGTTTCCTGCTCCCCCAGACTGAGGCAGCAGCTCCCCAGCTATCAGCTTAGCTGATGCTGGAGGTTTCTGGTGGTTCAGGGAAAAGCCGTGGTGAGAGCTGGCCTCATGTTCTCCCTCTGGTATTGCTATCTCTAAGACCATAATGAGATTTTTCCAGCTTTGTTCTCCCAACATCTCAATGCCACCTCCAGCCTCCTCCTTCCCCCTCCACAACTGCCTGGGGAGTCCTGAAACACGTGGAGCTGGTACTCAGCGTCCCACTGGATCAGGCCCCAGCTTTGGTGCTTGGTATCCGGAGGTGGGACATACTGTTCAGGTCACAGCCAATGAGCTCCATGCGCAGCGTGGTCCGGATGCTGTAGTGAGTGGGGTTAATGCGGATGTACCGGGCTATGATCGGAGGGTTGAAGCGATTTTCTTTCACTCCGGTTGCATCCACATTTGCAAAGAACAGCTGCAGGGAAAGGGAGAAAAAGGATTGTTGTACCAGTGGAAAGAGAGCTAGACAGGACAAGGATTAGTGGGGAGAAGAACAATTCTGTCTGGCATTTCTGTATCTTATCACCATCCTTACAAGAGAAAGGCAGCTCAGGGAAATGATTTGAGATGTGATTCAGACCAAAGAAGTGTGAATGGGCCAAATCAGGGTGAACCACTGAGAAACAGGAGGAGGAGAAACTTAGGGTCCGTGCAAATGAACATGTTTTCATATTTTCACCAAACAGAGGGGAGAGAAAGAAAAAAAAAAAAAGTCAGTCCTGGGACTTTTGAACCTGGGAAAAGTTTTGGCCACAGCTGATGTACATGATGGAGGCTTTTCTGGATACTTTTCTTCTTCTGCTGGAATGATCAGCTTAGGCATATTTAGGTTGTGTTTTTTTCTAATGAGTAGAGATCCCCCAAATCATCTGCATCTGCACAATGTTTTTAGAAAGCCAAATTTGCCTTTGAGGTCAAAAAAGATATTCAGGCAAAATCTTATGCCTAGCTCTAAGTAACATGCAACATAATGTTAAGCAGTGGATCTCACAGCCACCTGGGATTGTGGAAAGAAACAGCTCAGTCAATTTAAAATGAGACAGATGGACACAGACAGCAAGTCCCTTGCAGATCTGTGATTCAGTCATCCTGGCAGTGAATGCTCACTGTTCCTGCCCTAATCAAATATCTCAGGGGCTCAGGAGATCTCTGCCTTGTGTACAGAGCTCCCTAGCCTCATCACCTCAAGAGACCCCATTCTGGGAAGACACTCTCCTCAAGACCCATTTGCCTTACCATCTGGGTGCTGGTGGCATTCCCCTTGTATTTCCTCCACCTTTGCCCATCAAGGCTGTAGAAGACAACAAACTGGGAGATGTAAAGGCTGGAGAACTTTTGTCGGGCCCCTTGGGTTTTTATGCCGTGAATAATCATGAGATGCAAAAGGTCCACCTGAGAACAAAAGTCAGGGATTCATTTCTGACGGAAAACCCAAGCCATGTTCAGGCAATGCACTGTAAACCCATGGAACTCGCTTCCTCATGACATAACTGAGCACAGGTTATGAAACTAGTTAAAATAGTCATTCATAAGGACACAAGTCAGCCAACAGCTGGGAGAGAGCAGGGGAGAGCTGTTTGGAGAGGTGAGCTGTTCTCACTTCGTCTTAGGGGGATTTTTGCACAATCCGATGCTGCAGCCGGACCATCAAGTGATTCCTCTGCTGCACTGAGGATCGATCTGGGGGTCAGGCCAGCAGCAACCATGGCCAGACGAACTGCCATTAGGATCTCAGAGCTCCCCTCCCAGAGGGGAAGCAGGGGAAATAGCAGCACTTAGCTGGGGAGACACTGGCCATCCGTGTGGGTGCTTCTGCACAGTGCATCAGCCATGAGCATGCCCTTGCGATGCCCCCAGCGGTGCCTCCAACCACAGGGCCGCTCTTACCTGGATCCAGGTGTTGCTACGGTCAGTGCTCCAAGCATTGATGGAGCCGGTGTTATCCAGCCTGGCCAGGTAAGGAGCCCACTGCCCTGCGAGGAGAGCACACAGATATGAGGGTGCTGCTGGCCCCTGGCACTGCCCAGCCTGAGGTGGTGAGAAGTCCATCCGCAGGACAGGGCCTGAGGATCACCCTAGGGCTTAGTAGCCATGTACAGGGTGGCAGAGCACTGACACGATGGGCCAGATATGTGGGAAGGCACCTCCAGGTCCTGAGTGGGACGCTGACATGGGCATGGATGGAGGAAGGACTCTGCCGGGGACTCGGTGTAGCAGAGCCTTGGGCAGGCAAGCATATGAGTTGTGTTGGCTGAAGCTGCCCCAACCTCACCTGCCTTCCTTGCAGCAACAACCCCTACTCACCATACTGCCCCGACGCTGTGATCTGAGAGTCTGCAATGTGACCCGAGGCCAGGCCGAGGGTGTTTCGGCAGTCTGCAGCCAAACAGGGAAAAGGAGGGCGAAAACCAGGGAGAGTTGATTAGATAACAAGGCTTTTGAAGGAAAAGCCTAGGCTGGGTAGCAGCCTCCAGGCTCAGGGAGGTTGTCTCAAGCCTCCAGGAGCCCCCAGGTTTGTTTGTCTCACACCAAACAGTGCGTTTCAGATGCCTCCACATCCATCCCTGAATTTTAGGGGTGCTCGAAGTTCTTGTTCCCGACCCCGATGTCAGCAGCAGAGAGTTCCTAGCATCAGCCACAGCAGCCTTTTGCCAAACTCCTGTCCCTGAGTCCCCAACCTCTCATTCCCATGTCCTGATCTCCCAGCAATGCTGACAAGTGTCTCTTCCTTATACCCGTGTCTTGCACCTGGGCCTTTTTGTTGCTAGGCAGCATCTTTTAAAAACAAATATCACATTGCTAAAGGAAAGTCTGCCTGACACCCCTGTCTCTCTGTGTCTCTTTTCTGGTCTGCTGAGCACAGGGCTGTTTATCTCTTATAATAACCATTATTATTAGCAACTTGTCACATCTTGGCATCTCTGCTGCATGGCAAATGCTTCTGGGGAAAATGCAAATTTGAAATCTTAAGCAGATTTTTAACTTATGGAAACATTTTCTGGCTGACATTGAATACTCCTTTAGGAAGAGGAGAGAGACTGTCACTGTGTGATAAAATACTAGTCTCACAAACCATTGCCCCCAGTGCTTACTTATGGTGAGGTAGAAACGTGTTGTTCTGGGGTGAATGGAGTCAGAGGTTTCCTGTGGATTTTGCAGTTGCTCTTGGGGCTGTTTCTATCAGAGCCTGCCTCTGGCAGGCTGCCTCGTGCCATCACTCCATGCCTCAGTTTACCTCTTGATATGTGGTTAGGCAGCTGGGCACTGTGCCTTCCTGACAGTGTGGGCAGGCACCAGCATGTGCATGCAGATGCTGGGATAAGTGCATTTTACAGGAGGTCCAGGGACCCTCAATTTTGGAAAACAAGAGCTCTGGGAGCAAATATTTGCAGGCAAATGAAGCTGGTCTCCCAGCCTTCACCCCAACCGTGTCCCTGACTGTGTGCTCTCTGCTGGGCTGTGTAGGGTGGCAAGTGCTGAAGTTTTGACTTTCTTTCAGAGTGAAAACCCCAAGGACCCCACTTGGGCCACCCCAGGGGAAATGCTGAGAGCCCAGGGGAGGGAGCTTAAAAACATGCTGCCTGTGGCCAAGGCAGCAAGTGGGCCAGGGCACAAAGAGGATCACTCACTCAGGTTGTACACAAGGAAGAGAGCAGTCATCCCGGCTTGCTGGTGCTCTCCCACTTTGCACTCTACCCGCCAGATCCCAGCATGTGAGGGCCACATCTCCACCGTCCCGAAGACACCTGGCCAGGAATGGAGAGCAGAACAGAGGGGAGTTACTGGCTGTAATGGGATGCCACAGTGCCAAGTGCTGTGCAAACACAGAGCCAGATTCTTCCAGATCCATTCCCCCCCCACCTTGCTATTCCCCTGCAGGCTTGGCACTTCCTAACGGGCATGGACATGAAGCCCCGGCAGCCGGGGTGTGCACAGTGCCCGTGCTGCATCTCACCGGGATAAAGGTTGTAGACGCCCATGCGATACTCCTGGCTAGTCCTGACACTGAACAGCTGCCCGTGAAAGTGGATGGAATGGATATCCTTAGTGCTGCCCATGTTCAGGAGGTGCCATCGGACCCGTTGCTGCTGAGCCATCACCAGTCCGGGCAGTGTGTCACTCATGTAACCGTTGACAGCTGGGAAAGGCAGCAGTCAGGAGCAGCTCAAGGCTCCAGGCTTTTTCCATCCCAATGTGGGATGGAAAGGGCAAGGGCAAGGGTCCTCACCGTGGAAGGAATGGTTTCTCTTAAAGTCAGGGTTGTCCTGCTGGATGCGGCAGGGAGGGCGGCAGTTCCTCTCCATGTTCTCCAGGAAGTACCAGCTTTTGGTCTCATCAAAGATGGTGAAGAGCAGGGAGAACTCCTGCACAGCCAACTGCCGCCTGAAAATGAAGCTCAGCACCCCACGGCGGCAGATGATCAGTGGCCCAATGAGGCCCGAGTGCAGGTCCTTCTCCTGCCGGGGAGCCAGGAAAGAAGGGTTTGCCTTGGAGGGGGAGGCAGCGCTGACGCCCGCAAGCAGCACAGCGGCAAGGAAAGCGGTGGCCCTGTCTGCATCCCTGGCCTGGCTCCCACTCGTGCACAGGGCATGGCACGTGCAGGGTGGGAAGGACATGCTGGGTGCACTGGGGGATCCCCACTCTGCCCCTAGCTAAGAAAAGCTGTGCGGCAAGTGTTTGCACATACTTTCAAGAGAAGTGGTGTCTGTCTGTCCAACCGTCCAATAGTCCCTATCCCACTAACATTGGAACACATGAACCAAATTCAGCCAGGTTTGGCAGAGGGGTAGGAGACTGCAGAATGCTAGTTCCCTACAAGTCTCATAAGCTGGTACAACTGGGGAAAAGGGAAAAAACCCAATTAAGAGAAGGGAAGAGAAAGCACCAGCATGCATTCATCACTGTATTAGACACCTGAGAATCTACACAGCCACAGGCTGCTTTCAGCACAGTACCATAGGAAAAGCCTTGACTTCACAGCCAGGACCCAGGTGTGCTGCCCATCTCTCCTTTCTGGGATGCCCCATAGAGCAGGCTCCCACCTACCAGGTCCATGTTGGAGAAGTAAGCCCAGGCCTTGCAGTCGAACTCCTGTGTGGTGGGTGCCATCTGGGGCAGGACTTTCCAGGAGTACTTCCTGAGCTCGCCGGGCTGCACCACCTCTCCACCCTGCATTGCGCCCTGCGTCTCCTCGTAGGCTTGCAGCGTGGAGTGGAAGGAGAAGGGCCGCGAGGCCAGGTTCTTGAATGTAACCTGTACCAGAGGGAAGGCAAAGGGGCTAGGTGCAGCACTGAGAGTGCCCTGGACCCTGGGGTTGGATCCAGCCAGCTGGTGGGAAGGAGGCAGCCATGTCTCCGGTGCCCAGACCTCCAGCTGGGCCCCATGCAGTGGCCAACCCCTGCTGAACCACAAGCTGTGGCTGTGCAGTGTGATCCCCAACAGAAAGCACATCCCAGTCACATCAGCAGAATGAGTTCCTCTCCCTGCTCAATGGGAGCAAGGTCAGCTACACTACTGTCTCTGGAGCCCAAAGCTGAATCCATCCTCGTGAAGATTTCAGTGAAAACTGGGCAACTTCTCCAGGCATACAAGTCCTGAGGCTGGTGAAGAGCCTTTCACCTCTTCCTTAGGTGGGTGCTGAAGGACCTTTGGTGGTAAGGGAAGCCTGAGCCTGCCCCCACATAGAGCACCCAAAGAAGCTGTACTGAACCCTGCTTAGCTCATTACCCTTTTTACAATCCCTTCACCCAAAAGGCTCCCCATGGAGCCGAGAAGCTGCTCGGGCTGTGCTGTTACAGGGGTTGGGTCTGTCTCAGGTCCAGGGCTTGCATCTGAACACTCTGAGGTTCCTGCTGGCCCATTTCTCCAGCCACTGACCCCCCCCCAAGCCCTCAAGGTGAACGCATGGGCATCGTAGAGCCTGCAGGCCCACGGCACTCCCTCTGGCGGAGCACAGCCGCCGTAAGGGAAGCCTGAGCCTGCCCCCACATAGAGCACCCAAAGAAGCTGTACTGAACCCTGCTTAGCTCATTACCCTTTTTACAATCCCTTCACCCAAAAGGCTCCCCATGGAGCCGAGAAGCTGCTCGGGCTGTGCTGTTACAGGGGTTGGGTCTGTCTCAGGTCCAGGGCTTGCATCTGAACACTCTGAGGTTCCTGCTGGCCCATTTCTCCAGCCACTGACCCCCCCCCAAGCCCTTAAGGTGAACGCATGGGCATCGTAGAGCCTGCAGGCCCACCTCAGCACTCCCTCTGGCTGAGCACAGCCAGCAATGGGGGGATTTCAGGTTTTATAGGAAATGGGAACTTTCAATTCACCATGATGACATCTTCAACTTCTGCCCTGATGTATGGCCCGAGGATGCCCAAGTGCTCGTCCAGCTCTCCCCGCAGCAGTGGCTGCGTGAAGGAATCATCCACGTACTCTCGGAAAACCACCTTGCGGTACTGCCGGAAAGGCTTCCTCCTGCCGCTCCAGGGGTCCCTGCTGGGGTGAGGGCAGTTAAGCAAATCAGGTGATACTGTCCCATAGGGAGGGCAGCCATGGCAGGGCTGTAGCAGGGCAGGGGTGATGCAGAGCCTGGAGCATTCCTGACCCACTTGCAAGGAAGCTCAAGGTTGCTGGAGTTACAAAACTCTCCAGGTGGAGGGGAGGCGCTGGGAGCATCCTCCCCCTGGGCTGCTTGGCTGGGTTGTACAGTCATAGACCTGTGATCCTGCCAGCCAGGACATGCCAACCCACACATCAAGCCATGCCACGCAGTGCAGGAGGAATACATGAGGGACAGTCACACTTACATGGCTTTTAGGAAGTGCTGGGGTCTCTGGTTCCCGTATTCCCACATCACCTCCACTGCTGCAATGAAGTACTGCCGTACCTCCCCCTGGAAGGAGCGTGGGTCATGCTCCTCTTCCCCGTAGATGTCGAAATCCTCCATGGTCTGCTCTGTGTTACCATACTCGTCGTAGTCTGGCTTGTCAGCCTTTGGCGTTGAGGGGCTGGAATGGGTCCTGTTGTTCAGAGCTGGTCTCTCCCTATGTCCTGGGGCATGGTTCCTCTTCCCAGCTGTGCTGTTGCTTTCCCCATACTCCTTGGGCTCTCCTGGGCCCTGGCCCTCTCTCTTCCTGGTTTCTCTGAGGACATCTTCCCCACCAAGCACCTGCCATCTATCCGGACTGGCTTGCATATATTTGGCTGTGTTTTTGCTAGTGCTGTGGTTGCTAGCGGGGCTGCTTGGAGACAGGGAATAGTTCTCTTTGGAGGATGGTTTCATAGGGATTTCTTCTGGGCTTTGCCCAGACATGCTCTCAGGCATGTAGTCCTCTGTGGCATTGACCTTAAGATGCTGAGACTGAGGACTGAACTGACCCAACTGCTCCACAGAATTTGTCTCCTCCTCCATCTGGCTTCTTCCCTGAGCTTGCTTGCTCCCGGGAGCACCCCAGACAGCACCTCTGCCAGGCTGCAGCTCGGCCAAAGCTGGGCTCCGCAAGCCCCCAGCGTGTCCTGCTGCCCCCAGGGAGACCAGGTCCCAGTTTGAGGCCGGGTCTGCAGCCACAGCAGCAGCCTGCATTTCTGAGCTACTTGCTGCCATTGCCTTCTCGCTCCCCAGTGCTCTCCGTGTGGCAAAGGAGCGTCCACTGCGCTGGGCCCCTTCACTGCTCTTCTGTACACCCCTATCTGTGCTCGGCCTCCCCTCAGGATGCATCTCATCTGCACTATCTGCAAGCAGAGCCTGTGGAGCATTCCTGCCCAGCTGTAGTCTCCCCTCCACCACATTTGATTTTTCTTCCAGGCTTTGCTGGGCCACCATCACCTCAGGCAAAGTATCGCTTGATGTCAGGGGCCTCTTTTTGAAGCGAGCACTGCAAAAAGGGGAATAAGGTCCACACACCTTTGGGGCTTTCTTATTCACTGCTGTCTCAGGGGTCTGGCTGGCCAGATCCTGCTCTGCTCTGTTACCCTGAGAGAGGGGCTCCCTGCTGCCAGGCCAGCTGGTGTTGGGAAGACCCAGGCCATGCATCAAGCCTCTGCTCTCCGGTGACCTGGCTTGTCGAGGCCTCCAGCTGGGGCCACTCACACTTGGAGCTGGAGCTCTGTGTCTCAGAAACTGCTCAGGGCTGTTTAAGAAAGCATTTGGGAACTGCCTTGTGTCATTGGCTACAACATTTGATTCAGGAAAGGCAAGACTGTCCATCTCTGGCAATTCCTTAGTGGCTGTAGCATCCTGAAATACTGCTTCCAAGATTAATTCATCCCTCTCTTCCATCATTATATAGCTGGAAGGTTCAAGGTCATTGGTGTGTGCAAAGGTGGTTTCTAGAAGGCTTGTGCCTTTGGCAAGTTCACTGGCTTCTTGTTCTGTGCCGCTTTTTGCAGGCAAGAAGTTACTCTCATCTGTGAGGATTTGCTCTTGTGCAAGTTTGCTGGGTCCCAGGTCTGAGAAAGAAACATTTTTACCTTCAAAAGATTCATAAAAGCCTTGTGAAACGACTTTGTGAGGTCTTTTTTCCAGCCTAACATCTAGCTCATTTGATGAATAATTGCTTTCTCTGGTGTGACTGTGAACGACAGCATGAGAAGTCTTGTTGTCTTCTGTCTCATCTGAAGATGCAGAAGGATTGTCCAGTGTGGAGGAACAGTTATGATCAGTACTTAAAGCTGGTTCTGTATTGATTGTCTCCTTTGACTTGTATAGATTTACGGATATTTTATCAGCCCCTCTTAGCAACGTGTCCTCAGCACCCTGTGAAGACGTGTCTTGAAGTCCCAGATTGCACTCCAGGTCATTCTGGTGAAATGAGCTCCTGTTCTCTTGAAGAGGAGCTTTGCTAGCAGCATAAGCAATTGCGTCCCACAAGCTTGTTGCATCAGTAGTTGTCTTTTGAGGCTCTGCTTCCAGGATCTCTAATGTACCACCAGACATTGTCCTTTTTATTGGCTCCTTCACCTCTGAGATTTTTGTCACCTTCTTTCCTGCCAGAGCATCTTCTGGAGCTGGTGTGGCTTGGTGCAGCCATTGCTGACCTTCTGAGCTCTCAGTACCATGGACCCTTCCAGTGACACTCGCCAAGTGTTCTCCAGGTGAGAGAGCTCCAAACCCTTCATCCTGGCTGATGGTTTTTGACAATTCTTCTTCATCTTCCAAGAAGGATTCATAGGGCACTAGCTCATAGTTTGTCTCTGGCAGAGAAGACATGGTAATATCAGGTGGATGTGGGATTGTTCCTAAAAGTGTTGATGTGCCATCGGAAGGGGGATCAGAAATCCTGCCATTGCTCAGGAGAGCCCCATGGCTGGGTTCTGTCAAGCACAATTTTGGCTTCTCTGTCTCATTTCTGGAAGAGGTGACGTTGTTCAGTTGCTCATTCACACATGGCCTGCGCCATCTCTTTCTTTTAGAGAATCCCCTGGGTTGGAATTCAAAGGCACCCTCTTCCTCCTCGAAATCCACATAATCTTCCCCATCAGGGTATTGCTCATGCTGGCACTGCAAGACTGTGAACTTGGCGTGCATCCCTCGGTCTCTGAAATCAGGATTCAGGCACCCCAGCGTCCAGACGCCTGTCTCAAGAGAGGACAAGAGGACACCATCAGCCCACCACAGTGAGAAATCAGAAGAGCTGCCATCCCCATGCCACTCCTTTGCTAGTGCAACCTATATTTTCAGCCAGCCTCTGGTTCATGGTAGTGATTTCATGTTTTCATAATCCCTAGAGTGTCTTACAGCTGGACTCACAAGACATCAGGGTTGCTGGCAACATCAGAGCCAGTCCTGACAAGCACCATCAGCAGGGCCAGTGTTTCCTGCCAGAGCTTAGTGAGATACACACACCCACGAGGCCCCAACAATAGGTTGGTGAGAACAGTTAAGGCACTGAGAACCCACAGAGCCTCCAGGATTATTGCCAGCAGCAGAGTAATCACCATAATTCACCCCCAAAGACATGCTGGTGCTGTCAAATACACCTCTCTCCCAGACACAGTCGTCACATCTCTCCCACTCAAGGAGAAAGAAATGAAAAGGCTGCCTCTTGCTCACATCCCCAGACAACACGTTTGCTCCCTGCAGCAAGCACCTCTTCTCCAGATGCCAAGAGTGGGTGAGGAGGTGTGTAATAACCAGGCTCTGACGCTGGAAAGAGCTGTCATCTGCTGCTGGCCGAGCTGCTTGCCTGCTTCAGATCAGCAGGCACAAATCAGAGCTCAAACGGATGCAATGTTTGGCTGGGTTTTAGAAAGCCTCCTGGTGTATCTAGAAACCCTGTCAGCTTGGCTCAGGATGCAGCACTCGTGACCATCATATCAGTGTTTACAATCACATGGTAAATTCTGTGTTTCCTCTGTGAGTAAGGAAATGGTTAACAGCACCACTTTTGCAAATGCTAAGGAAAAAATGCTGAGTGGGGGGAAATAAAACCGAACTCTGAAGCAAATCCTTCCTAGGACTTCTCCATAGCTGTGATTTTTGTCCTTGCAAAAGTGTGGAGATAAATGGGATGCCGTGACCAGTGGCTGAACTCACAGCAGGGACAGCACTGCCGCTCCCCTTGACCTCTGAGCTTGGAGCCAAGGGTGGAGACGCAAGGTCCACAGGGCTCATGTTACTGCAGCCAGCTCACTGGCTTGGCAGTATGTGTGACCTTAATGCACCCTATTAATGAAGTAAAATACAGAAATTTAATTTCTTTGATTTAAGCTTTGGAAGGATTTAATCATTGCCTCTCACTTTGCTGTTCTAGCAGGTTGTGCATCCCTTTGCTCGCAGGGCTGCCAAAATGCGATCAGGTACCAGAGACCTGGCTGGAGGTGCTCACTTATCTCTGCTCTGATGCCAAGCCCATGGTTTATAGAATAGCCCATGTTACTAACCTGGCTTTTCCAAACTCATGAAGACTGTTTCTCCAGAAAATGGGAAAAGTGTAAGCACATCCTCAAAGACCATGTTGCGCTTGAATGTGTTTCCAGAGAAGAAGATGGAGAGGAAATCTGTTTGGGCCCCAACACTCAGGACATACCAGTACACAACTTCATGCAGGCAGAGTTTTGGTTGGAGGTTGTCAAACACAAAGCCGTTAATAGCTGGAAGAGAGCAGGGGTGAAACATTTCATCAGGACCTGATTCCCCCATGTCTGCCGAGCTTCTGCATGTTCCCTGCTTGTTCCCTGGGGCAGGGATGAGCCTGTGTCTGCCAGGGCTTTGCAGGGAGCTCCTGGTTGAACACTCACTGTGCATCACGTTAGAAGCATAAAACTGGGGGTCCTGCGTATCCACACGGGCTGCATCAGTGCAGAACCGCCTGATGTTCTCCTCCAGGTACCAGCTGCGGTTCTCATCAAAGACCGAAAACAGCACCAACCTTGTCTTGTCTGACATTATCTGGAAGGCGAAGAGGGAAGCAGTTATTCCTGGTCTGATCAGAGCGCCCCTGGGGCCCTGTGTAGCTGCCACGTCTTAGCCTGGGTGCATGGGGAAGAGTTTACTGCTATTTCACAGGAGTTAGGGTCCAGGTTTGGAGAGAAGGGAGCATGCAAGGGAGGATGGGGAAGGCAGAGGCATTGGGACTGACGGTAGGGTTGATGAGAACAGGACAGACAAATTTGGTTTCACCCAAATATTTCACCCACCGCAGTTATTCCAGCCTTTCAGCCTGGCAGTTGAGGCAAAAAAGGAAGGACCCACCTGATTTCCCCTCTGATCCATGGACTTCTTAAAGCAGATCAGGAGGGGCCCAATCAGGCCTGAGGCCGTATCTCGGACCGGGTCGATGGAGCTGTAGTAGAAACGGGTGAGGCAGCGAGGATCTGCCTGAGTTGGCCCATCCTCAGTGGTGACCCTCCAACTGTAGGTGAATGACTGGCCAGGGGGTATAGGAATGTCCTTCACGTCCTTATCTGGCAACACACAGATCAGTTAAGTCTGGGCTGCTCCTGCAAGGGGTGATCCCACTTTTTAAAAGAGCTCAGAAAGGAGGTTTCTTGACCACACAGGTTGCACAGAAAACTACCCAAACCCATGCCCACCCCGGGATGGCACACTGGCTGCTAGCATGTGCTTGCATGGAAAGCTGATGTGGACAAAAGGAACCCCTGGGACCAGATGAGGATGGAGAGGCATATGCCTGATTTTGAAAGTCCTTGAAACTCCTGCAAACTGGAAAATTTGCCCAGTCTCAGCTGTGTCTGGGCTCTGGGCTGCCTAGAGGAGTTTACAGATGAAGGTACAGAGCTGGGCAGGGCTGAAATGGGTGAAAAACAAAGCAAGGAAAGATACATTTTTAAGCAACTACAGCTAGACCATGAGAAAAGCAAGGAGATCTGGAAGGAACAGAAGGAAAACTGAAATGCAAATAAATCCTCTGAGCATTCAGCAGGATCTTGCACTTAGAAAAAGACTTTTCTCTGCTCCAAGTGCCCAGCTGAGCCACTGTAAAAGCATGGTTTGCAAAGCTCATGTGTCAGTCAGGGTAGGAGTAGCTCTTTTTATTTATAATCCCCTAAAGAGCATCATCCCTGTGGCTCCAGGACCATGACTCGCCCACTTTCAGAGTTGAAACACTGGCAAAGCTGGTGAGCCATGTCTGGCTGGGGGATGTTGACAGAGGGGCAAGGACAGGGCTCCCAGCTCCCTCGTGTGGCTTGGCTCCTTTAGTCCTGCCAGCTGATAGGCTGCTTTGCCCTTTTGACTCTCCTGAAGGAAAACCTTAATTTAGATAGTAACAGGTCACAAAGCTGACCTAGTTCACTGAACTCCTTAGCAGCTGCCGTCCTGGTTCTGCCGCCTCTGCTGCAGCAGAGGAGCTTTTCTCCAGCCTCTGCAATTGCTCCCATCATTATGACGCACCCAAAAGGGCAGAGAGGAGGAGGGGAGAGGGATAGGGCATGATTTTGCCCTGGTGGGACGTGGGATGGCCTTGCACAAGTTGTGATCCTGGGAGCATGCTGGCAGGGGATGAAAACAGGTCTGCGAAAGGGACCTGGTAACTCAACAAGCCTGGAGCAAAAACCGCGAAGCTGTGAGAGGGAGAGTCTGAATCATAATGAACCCCCCACATTAAAGCAGGGCAGGGGGGAGCCCAGGGAATGAGGACTGTAAGCAGACTGGCAAACACAGGCAGGATCACCAGGGTGGTTCCTGCCTCGTCAGGAAGTGGAGGCCTCCAGGATGGACCAAACAACATGGTCCCAGCTCTCTGGTTGACAATGCCCCTTCTTCCAGTCATCATCCAAGCCTTCCTTAAAGACAGGGTTATATGGCACTAAGGGGGACATGAACCAAGAATCATCATAATCTCTGGGATTGCAGGGCTTAGGCACTTGGATGGATGGGTTGGATAAACAGTTTTACCATGGGCTGCAGGAAGCTCTCCTGGCCCAGAAGAATGGCAGTGGCCAAGTGATGCCCCAAATTCTTATGGCCTGCCTTACCTTGAGAGGGCTTCATGGCATGGTATGGCCTTACGCTGGTGAGGCCGTGAGGGTAGATGTTGTATGGTCGGCTTGCCAGGTTCCTGAACACGATCTGAAATGAGGACAGCCCACAGGAACGTTTAATGCTTTCTGAACATTGTGAGGAGCCTCACTCAAGGCTGCCCTCAGTGTCCTCACAGGGAGGGAAATGCTGGGCAGTGGCACTCTGGGATTGACTACCTGCCAGTGTCCAACGGGGGAGAACCCGGATGTATCTGGGACCACAAAGTAGGGGTCAGAATAGAAGAAACGACTGTTTATTTCTCTACCAGTCTACACTGTCCATCTTTCCGGGAGATGCCCATTTTAGGGAGAACGTGAAAATATCAGATTTATTAAAGAGAAAGTTGCTGTCTTTAGTGTCACTTTGCATATGAGACAGAAGAGGACTGTCAGTCCAGGAGGCCTCGGAGGACCAAGACACTAAGTATGCACAGCAGTCAACAGCTTCAAAGTGCTCTCCACTTCTCTGCATGAAGCCCTTCACTTATTTATCTAAATAGCTCTGTTGGGGCTTTGCCACAGGTGTTACCTTCAGCTCCATGCCCACAACTGTGCAGGGAACCCCAGGCAGGGAGCAGAAATGTGAAGCTCCTGGAAATCATCCCATTCCTCCTAGCAGCAAACAAGTCAAGTGGTCAGTAGAGGCACTTGGGGAGACACAAGCGACAGTCCCCAATACTGCATGGAAAGAGCACATAAATGGAGAAGAGTGGAGGATGAGAGGACACTCCTGCCTCAGAAGAAGGTGCTGGATGCCATGTGTCATGGATTAATTCACACGATTCCTAAGACGCCTGCAATGAAGTTAAATCAAGGGGACTGGGCCATATCCTGTGCATCTCTGCCGATCTCACCAAGAGCATTTGGTTTTAGCTTTCAGTAACATCTGCCCTTCTGGTGAATTTTGGACATTACCAAACATGATAGAGCACCTCAAGGACTTATGTCAGACCTTAGCCACAAACCAAGAGCTATTAGTATGAACAGCATCAAGCTTTGAAGTTTCCCCTTCCAGTCCCTCTTTGTGGAAAGCAATCTCTCTCTTACCTTAAACTGATCTCCAACCTCCCCCTTAATGACAGGCCCCAGAATTCCCTTGTCCAGTTGATCTGACACCTTGCGCTTCTTGAAGGTTGCATCCTCGTACTCCACAAACATCACTTTCTTATACTGTGAACCAATCCGCTGAGGGCCAGCCTCCAGGAACAGGCTCGTGATGTTTCTGCAGGCAAGGCAGAGAAAGAACAAATGGCCACATGCGGGATGCTGTCAGAACCAGAGCAAGACCTTCCATCATCCAAGGGCCTACACAGCTGCCCGGGGACTACCAGTGCACAGTGGGGACACCCATCCCTGCAATCACAATATGCATCCTGGGGAATAACGTTTCAAGTGATTCAGTGCTTCTTTAATGGAGAAAGCGTCAACTAGGTAGCACAGTAGCAGCCTTGGGCTGACACTGCCCTGTCTTGGAGGGAACTGGTGACTGTGAGAGCTGAGAGCATGGCAGGTTGTCCTGTGTCAGGGAACGCCCCCAGTATATGGGCATAATGCAACAGAGCAGCTGCCTTGTCTTGATCATGCCAGCTCCTTCCCAGGAGCAAGGCCAGCCCTAAGCTGGAGAGGACATCTCCTCTGGCTTACCCTGAGAGGGACTGCAGGTAGGGATTTCTGCCCTGCTCCAGCGGCCGCTGGCTGGGATCCCCATCTAGGGCAGAACCCGGTGACCCCACTAGCAAGCCAGCCCCAGCCCACACAGCCTGTGTCAGCGGAGTGACGTCAGGACTGGTGACAAGTGTCATCACCATGCAGGGCTGACTAAGGTACTTCTGCTGAGATACTGCACTTGCATCACCTCTCCCTCCAAGAAGTGAGGCAGCAGCAGGGGCTAATTGCCTCTGCCATCTAAAGCAGGTCCTTCCAGACAGGGCAAGGAAACCCACACTCTGGGACTGGGGGCGCATGTCCTGGCTGTGCAGGACCTCCTGGCTAAAGAGTGAGAAGGGTCACCAGGCGTTGCTGCCTGTTCAGAAGGGGCTGACGCCAGAGACCTGGGCGACAGAGACGCAAATGCCCTGGGGACAAATGCCTCTGCAGGGCATTTGGTAAAATGGAGCAAAGCCAGGTCCTGCCTTCCCATGGCCTCCCCAAGACCATCCTTGTCCTGCATCCATACTGTTAGCGTCAATTAGGAAGAACAAAACTGTCCAGGTTGGGCACAAAGAAAATAAATTTCTGGGGAAAAGGGGAAGAGCTGGCAGGGCTGCCTCAAGGAGCAGCCTCATGGGCACACACACCCACTCTCACCTATCCAGAGACACGGGCTTCACAGGGGCATAGTCCCAGTCCATTTCCTCAGCCGCAATGTAGTGAGTCCAGGTCACAGGTTTCTCTTTGGCAAAAGAGCGCACTTGGATAGCATGATAAGTTTCCTCATCTTCTTCAGGGTAATCCATGTCCTCTGGCTCATCTGACAGCTTCCCCATCTTCATCAGGCGCTCCTCCAGGCACTCTTCCACCTTCACAATGGCCTCCATGCCAGCTGGGTTCAGACAAGACGGGCAGAAAAGGTCACACTGACATGCCAGCACAGGTGCGCACTCCCCCAGGCTCTGCTTAGGAAATGTCCTCTCCACTACTGTCCCCATCAAATGGGCCATCACATGAGTCAACCTATGCCATCCTGGTCACGGGCCAGATTGCACGTGGATGTAACACTATGGAACAGGAAGGGCCTTGGAGCTGCAGCACTGCATAGAACCCTGAGCCCGGGCCATCCCCTGAACTTCTTTTCCCCTGAGCTCTTGCAGAATAAGGTTACCTTGCTGATGGGACAGTATCTGGCAGAACAGCCGAAACCAGCCAGCTGTTCCTGGCATGGTCTGGGCTGTGAGATACGTGGCAGGGGAGATTTCTAGGCTGCTGAGACGGTGGCTTCTCACCAGGAACGTGTGGGCTTCGAAGAAGACGGAGTGGACTTCTGGCCCAGTGCCCAATCCAATCACGTGCCATTGGACCTGCTTCTTGAGGCAGAGTGTGAGACCTGCCAGGAGAGAAGGAAAGCACCCAGGAGTCAGCACTATGTCCATCCCTTGTCCCCACTCTTGGTGTCACGGACTCAGAGCCTGACACGGGCTGAGTAGAGTCCCCTGCCCTGCAAGGTGGTGGCTTCAAGCTGGAGAAGTCGCCTGTGAATGTGGACTGTCTGAGCAAAACAGAAGTGCAGGCCACATCATCCCCCTGAGAAAATGAGACTAGATTTACAGAGTGGGAAACTTTGGCAAGGGCTTTGGGAGGTGTGCTGATGGGAGCTCACAGCAGGATGCAGTGGCAAAAGAGGTAGATCTTATGTTGCCAGTAGAGGTAGACCCTTATGTTGCCAGTCCAGATCCACCTGAGCCACTTCAATCTTAGCAGCCTGATCCACCTGCTGATTGTTTTGATGTTCTTCAGTAGCCCAACTCTTAGGTATGTAAGTATCTATGTGACGGACTTGTACAACCAGGTTCTCTACCCGGGCAGCAATATCTTGCCACAATGCAGCAGCCCAGATGGGTTTGCCTCTGCGCTGCCAATTGCTCTGCTTCCATTGCTGCAACCACCCCTACAGGGCATTTGCCACCATCCATGAGTCAGTATAGAGACAGAGCACTGGCCACTTTTCTCGGTCAGCAATGTCTAAAGCCAGCTGGATGGCCCTTCCTTCTGCAAATTGGCTCGATTCACCTTCTCCTTCAGCAGTCTCTATAACTTGTCGCATAGGACTCCATACAGCAGCTTTCCACCTCCGATGCTTTCCCACAAGACAACAGGACCCATCAGTGAACAGGGCATATTGCTTCTCATTTTCTGGTAGTTCATTATACACTGGGGCCTCTTCAGCACGCGTCACCTCCTCCTCTGGCGATATTCCAAAATCTTTGCCCTCTGGCCAATCCATGATCACTTCCAGGATTCCTGGGCGACTGGGGTTTCCTATTCAAGCC